CTTTTTACGGGAAAAATTCGGTCAGTATGGCCCCTGAACTACTTCTGGATGAAAAAAATATCTTTAAACCCCGGGGGTCCACTGTAAAAGCCTATGTTTACACTATCATATATTAAGTGAGTAATACCGCTAGGCCTTAAACATGTATATACAGTACACACATTACTTACCTTAAAATATTTTCATCCTTAGCTTATGGTGAGTAGTGATTACTATATTCATTGTAGGAAGTCTGAATAAATGAAGAATGGTATAACTAAAAACCACTGCATTAGCAAAATGCTGTAAAGTGAAGCACTGTAAAGTTAAGTGCTGTAAAGTGAAGCACTGTAAAGTTAAGTGCTGTAAAGTGAAGCACTGTAAAGTTAAGTGCTGTAAAGCTAAGTGCTGTAAAGTAGGGCCCACCTGTACAAGTAAATCATCAGCCTGACACTACTGAAGGACTCTAGATTTAAAAAACTGAAGTAAACCTTCTGTTCCTCAACTCAAACCTGATTAACCTTCCATTCACCAGACCCTGTGTAACTCACATGGATTTACCAGACCCTGTGTAACTCACATGGATTTACCAGACCCTGTGTAACTCACATGGATTTACCACTTGTCCATGGACACAATAAAAAACAAATAAGCTGAACTTGCAGAACAGGATGAACTCCTTAAAAATTTCATTTTTTCCAAAAAAATTCACTTACAAAATGAACAACTGTAATAAGAATCTGTAAAAATATAGAGTTTAGTATTATACATGTAATTATTATTTTTAATATGTATATTATGTATTATTTTTTTACCTCTAAGGGCGTCTCCTGCTCATGGAAGAAAACCGTTGATTATTACTTTTTATGGGAAGCATTAAACCTGTAGGGGTTAAACAGCACATGAGAAAAGGGGATATTCAGGTTTACCTGAGGGCAACTTCGATTCCTTGGATCAAAAGCCCTTAACTGGCATCAAGGTGTCCACTCAAAGGGATATAAAACCCGAGTCGTAAAAATTACGAAATAATTTTCCCAAGAGCCTCCCGCATCCGAATACAGAAATTTAAAAATTCTCTAAAATCAACGAATTTTACTTAGCTTAGTAGGCAAATTGAAGAAAATTCTTAGGTGGTTTTGGGCAAAGGCTGGACAGATAGGTGGGTGGGAATGGTTGGTTCTGAGAAGGAACCTGCCTTGTATAGGCCAGTAGGCCTGCTGTAGTGTTCCTCCAAGAAATTGAAGCTAAAATAACCCCACCAATTTTGCTTATTAACACATTGGCCGATTCCCACCAAGGCAGGGTGGCCCGAAAAAAAAACCTTCATCATCATCCATCACTGTCTTGCCAGAGGTGTGCTTTACACTACAGTTATAAAACTGCAACAATAACACCCCTCCTTCAGAGTGCAGACACTGTACTTCCCATCTCCAGGACTCAAGTCCGGCCTGCCGGTTTCCCTGAACCCCTTCATAAATGTTACTTTGCTCACACTCCAACAGCACGTCAAGTATCAAAAACCATTTGTCTCCATTCACTCCTATCAAACACGCTCACGCAAGCTTGCTGTAGTATTTTGTATTCCTAAAATGTGTTTGAATTTCGTAATGTTTTCACATTTTTTAAGATTTGTCAAACTTTTTTGGAAATTAACATTTTTCTACAAAAAACAAGAATATTTTGGTTAAAAAGGTTTAATTTAGAGTAAAAGTTTGCAATGCATGGCAAGACAGTGATAGAGTGAATAATGGTGAAAGTGCTTCTTTTTTTTGGGGGGGGGAAGACACCACCTTGATGGGAAATGACCACTGTTTTATAAAATAGAAAAAAGATTGAATAAATGATAGTGAATGTGTTTTTCTTCTTTTTGCCGCTCAGCCTTGGCTGGAGACGGCCGTTGACTTTAAGAAATTTTTTTTTTACAATTAAAGTTTTCTCTGGAAAAAAAAAGAATTGCAGGATATCAAAAAAAAAGGAATTTAAAATTATAAATACCTGAAAATCTGGGGATAATTTATTCCACGAAGGAATGTTTGGTCTGCCATTGAGAGCAATAAGATAGAGGGCTCTGAGCGGCGATTCCTTCAGGTATGGAGGTTCACCCTCCACCATCTCGATGGCCATGATGCCCAGGGACCAGATGTCCACCTTCTTGCCATAATGTTTACGATTCACAACCTAAGAGGTCAGGATCATTACACAGGCTGGACTAAAAGGATCATTACACAGGCTGGATTAAAAGGATCATTACACAGGCTGGATTAAAAGGATCATTACACAGGCTGGATTAAAAGGATCATTACACAGGCTGGACTAAAAGGATCATTACACAGGCTGGATTAAAAGGATCATTACACAGGCTGGATTAAAAGGATCATTACACAGGCTGGACTAAAAGGATCATTACACAGGATGGATTAAAAGGATCATTACACAGGCTGGATTAAAAGGATCATTACACAGGCTGAATTAAAAGGATCATTATACAGGCTGGATTAAAAGGATCATTACACAGGCTGGATTAAATGGATCATTACACAGGCTGGATTAAAAGGATCATTACACAGGCTGGATTAAAAGGATCATTACACAGGCTGATTAAAAGGATCATTACACAGGCTGGATTAAAAGGATCATTACACAGGCTGGATTAAAAGGATCATTACACAGGCTGGATTAAAAGGATCATTACACAGGCTGGATTAAAAGGATCATTATACAGGCTGGATTAAAAGGATCATTACACAGGCTGAATTAAAAGGATCATTACACAGGCTGGATTAAAAGGATCATTACACAGGCTGGATTAAAAGGATCATTACACAGGCTGGATTAAAAGGATCATTACACAGGCTGGATTAAAAGGATCATTACACAGGCTGGATTAAAAGGATCATTACACAGGCTGGATTAAAAGGATCATTACACAGGCTGGATTAAAAGGATCATTACACAGGCTGGATTAAAAGGATCATTACACAGGCTGGATTAAAAGGATCATTACACAGGTTGGATTAAAAGGATCATTACACAGGCTGGATTAAAAGGATCATTACACAGGCTGGATTAAGAGGATCATTACACAGGCTGGATTAAAAAGGATCATTACACAGGCTGGATTAAAAGGATCATTACACAGGCTGGATTAAAAGGATCATTACACAGGCTGGATTAAAAGGATCATTACACAGGCTGGATTAAAAGGATCATTACACAGGCTGGATTAAAAGGATCATTACACAGGCTGGATTAAAAGGATCATTACACAGGCTGGATTAAAAGGATCATTACACAGGCTGGATTAAAAGGATCATTACACAGGCTGGATTAAAAGGATCATTACACAGGCTGGATTAAAAGGATCATTACACAGGCTGGATTAAAGGATCATTACACAGGCTGGATTAAAAGGATCATTACACAGGCTGGATTAAAAGGATCATTACACAGGCTGGATTAAAAGGATCATTACACAGGCTGGATTAAAAGGATCATTACACAGGCTGGATTAAAAGGATCATTACACAGGCTAGATTAACTCTTTCGCTGTCGATCCCATAATATTACGGCTTTGAAGCCAGTGTCAGTCCCATAACACTATGCCAAAATTCTAGCGGTTTCCAATCTTGCGGGAGAAAGCTGCTAGGCATACATATGAGAGAATGGGTCCGAGTGGTCAGTGTGCACAGTATAAAAAAAAAAATCCTGCAGCACGCAGTGCATAATTAGAAAAAAAACTGCGACCGCATTTTTTATTGAAAACAGAGACTTTTGCGGTGTATTTTCATGTGGTATTTGTGGTTGTATTCTCGTTTTCTTGATCTCATTTGATAGAATGGGAGATATATTACAGAAAAAGAGATGATTTTGAATGGTTTACAGACCAAAAGTAGCTTGAAAGTGAGATCAAAGGAGAAATGTTCAATTTTTTATAATACAGTGGACCCCCGCTTAACGATCACCTCCAAATGCGACCAATTATGTAAGTGTATTTATGTAAGTGCGTTTGTACGTGTATGTTTGTGGGTCTGAAATGGACTAATCTACTTCACAATATTCCTTATGGGAAAAATTCAGTCAGTACTGGCACCTGAACATACTACTGGAATGAAAAAAGTTCGTTAACCGGGGGTCCACTGTATTTGAGAGTAAACAAATCATGTCACGAGTTCAATATATATCAACTGGTGGGTCTAATATACTTTCACAAATGTTTTTTTTTTTTTTTTTTTTTTTCAACAAGTCGGCCGTCTCCCACCGAGGCAGGGTGACCCAAAAAAAGAAAGAAAATCCCCAAAAAGAAAATACTTTCATCATCATTCAACACTTTCACCACACTCGCACATTATCACTGTTTTTGCAGAGGTGCTCAGAATACAACAGTCTAGAAGCATAAACATATAAAGATACACAACATATCCCTCCAAACTGCCAATATCCCAAACCCCTCCTTTAAAGTGCAGGCATTGTACTTCCCATTTCCAGGACTCAAGTCCGACTATATGAAAATAACCGGTTTCCCTGAATCCCTTCACTAAATATTACCCTGCTCACACTCCAACAGATCGTCAGGTCCCAAGTACCATTCGTCTCCATTCACTCCTATCTAACACGCTCACGCACGCTTGCTGGAAGTCCAAGCCCCTTACCCACAAAACCTCCTTTACCCCCTCTCTCCAACCCTTTCGAGGACGACCCCTACCCCGCAGTAGTCTACATAACAGTAAATCCTCTACTTTCTGTGTGAATAAAAATTCAAAATGGAAAGCAAGCTTAATATAAGAGGGTCTGGAGACATGACTAATGAACAGAGAAAATGTTATTTTAGTGCCAGGAATGTTTACATTGTTTATTATGCACCCTATTTTGAAATTGGCCTTGCTTGAATTTTTGTATGAAATTGGCCAAATTACCAATTTCTGATCATTTTATTGGGTAACTGAAATAGGTAAATGGATGGTTTCTTGTACTCAATCAACAGAACAAAAGGAGTGCTAATGAAATTCCTATGAATATATTTGACTGGAATAATGGAATTGGCCCAAAAGAGGACTCAAAGTGGGCGAAATCGCTGATGCGTAAATATCACCAAGACCGCTAACCCCAAGAGCATAATTCCACAAGTTTTCCATCAAATTTCGTACTTCGGCTTTCATTACCATTGGGAAAAGATTCTCTATCATTTCACAAGAGAAAATAATTTTTTTTTAAATTCTTCGACACTGAGAGCAAGTTTGTGAGCAGGGGTCATGGCAGCGAAAGGGTTATAGGGGTTATTTAATTTTGGATGTAGTTTTTCAATCTCATTTATGAAAAATTGCATATACATGTATAGAGGAATTTTTACAAAAGGGCTGAATAATGTGGCTTACCTCAGGAGCCATCCAGTATGGGGTTCCTACCATGGTCTGACGCTTCTCGTCCCCAGTGATGTTAGCACAGAACCCGAAGTCGGTCAGCTTAATGGAACCATCTTTGCCGAGGAGAACGTTATCTGACTTGATGTCTCGATGTATCACTCCCTGAAAAAATAAAGTTACTAAACGACTGTGGTGTCAGTAACCCCCTTTCCTGTATACATTACTAAAGTTAAAAAGGGGAACTTTTGTTTTTCTTCTTGGGTCACCCTGCCTTGGTGGGACATAGCCACTTTGCTGAAAGAAGAAGCCATGCGTGTCATAAGAGGCGACTAAAATGCCGGGAGCAAGGGACTACATGTAGTAACCCCTTTTCCTACATAAATTCCTAAATGTAAAAAGAGGAAACACTCGTTTCTTTTTCTCGGGTCACCCGTCCTCGCTGGGAGGCGGCCTATGTTGAAAAAAGAAAATTATAAACAAAATCTTTAATGAATATCTAAATTTAATGAAATTCAGTACGTACACCATTCACGCAAAAATGGCTATGAGACATAAAAAATAACTTATGATAAAAGGCTCAAAGCACTAATTCAAATTCAGATTTATATTTCTTTTTATACAGTACAAAAATATACTTTACATGCAATAAAATAATGTTAGGCAAAAAAAGAAAGCCACTAGCATGCAACGTATTTCAGGAAATGCAGGACGAGAGACATGATAGACAGACACAGACAAACACAGACACACACACAGACATACAGACACACACACACACACACACACACACACACACACACAATGCCATAAAAGGACATGATAGAGTAGATAAAGGATTTTTTTTTGTACCAAAAAACAGGGATAACAAGAGACAACAGTTGTCAGTTTTAAAGTATGAAAATAGCAAAGCTGAAAGTACACTATTATATTTTTCTTCTCCACAGAGTGACAGATCAATGAGGATAATAGAAAAAGGCAGTAACAAGCACTACGACCATGGAAAATTTTAATATTATATGAAAAACAAATTACTGAAGGTGGGACAACTGTGGATGAAATTCCTCCAGTATATGAAGGTAGTGATATACCCCTTTTTGACAGGGCTACCCCCTTTTTTGGGAGAGGGGGTATTGCCCCTTCATAAACTGGGCAAATTTGATCACCCCCTTCATAAACTGGAGGAATTTCCTCCACAACAAGACAAGCATAGCATTGCTCCTGTAGCTGTCAACTGGTTGCAGGTGTGAGCAAGGTAATACCTGTAATGAACTGCACTGTCAAAAATAGCAGATAACTTAACTGCGGAAAGTTGAAAATCGACATACATCAAAGGAACAATATACTGGAACAATATACAATAACCCGCACATGGGAGAATGTTGTCATGGAGTTTCATTCCCCTACGAGCGGGTTTTTGCGTCTCAACATACATTATCATGAAGATAGTCGATGGCTCGTAGAGTGTGGTGGCACACTGCTGCAATCTGAGGTTCTTTCATGAGAGTCTCAGTAACTACATCCGTCAGAGGTCCACCATCCAGCAACTCCATGACAACCTGCAACGTATTACATGTTAATTCATTTGATTTTTAACAGAAAAAGAAAACATACTCACCATCATTCATTCAATCAGTCTTTCCAGAAATGTGGCGAAATCACAATTCAAATTACCATCCTTCAGAGTGTAGACACTGCCCTTCCTAACACCAGGAATGAAGTCCGATTAATTATTATTATACACAAATAATCTGCGCATAGGACACAAACTTATAATGGCAGTTTGGTCTGACTTAGACCATTAATTAACTAGTCACACAGAGAAGCGTGAAGAGAAGGGAGCCTGAACATATATATACGGGGAAGTGCTAAACCAATAGGGGACATGATGAAAAGTCAGTACGCATTATCTCGGCCACAGATAATGAAATGAATGATCAAAAAATGTTATCCCAGCATAGAAAATGTATTGTATGGTCAGTATACATTATCTTTAGCATAGAAAATATAATGTATGTCAACTTAACCCGACTTTAATATTAAAATGACACAACATACCATCATATTTCCCATTCTGTACATGTGAAAATTTGTTCATCAACAACCAAGAGAACGTATGAAAACCAGGACATTTTTTCTCGAACGCCTCATTCAAAAACCGATTTGTTCAACAAGTAATGCAATCGACAACCAATGTTCGACTGTACACTATATATTTTTTAACACACCGGCTGTTACCCACCAAGGCAGAGTGACCTAAAAAAAAAACAATTTCACTAGCATTCACCCTATCACTGTCTTACCAGAGGCATATCAAGTCCACTTATATTATTGCTATAATAAAAAAATGAAGCACTAAACCTACAAGGGTAAGTCCATTTATAACTTCTGGATGCTTTCCTGCAATAGAGAAACATAAAACAGAAATGAAGTTACTCACCCAGAGATGATTATTAAGTAAGAAGACATCGAGGAAGTTGACGAGGTTTTCATGCTGGAGATCTTTCATTACATGGATCTCATTTAGTATGAGTTCCTTTTTTGGTTGCTTGGCAAGATCAATGTCCTTCACTGCTACTTTACAACCAGTGGCTTTCTCACGAGCTATGAACACTGTTCCTGATGCCCTACCAAACAATTTAAATTAATTATCGAAGTACAGTAGAGATGCACATATACAGTGCCTCTTTTCGGCGTTCCGCATTTTCATTGGCTTTCAATTAAGCCATTGCCCCCCCCCCCCCCCGCTGGTGACTTGCGCCATCAGGTGGCACATAACAAACAACGGCTCAATTGGAAGCCAACATAAACATGGAACACTGAAAAGAAGAATGCTGTATATGCAGGGCCCTCTTATATAATTTTATTTTCATACCATGCCAGCAGTCTACCACCATGGTAGAATGACTCCCATCCCCCCAAAACAAGAAGTGAATTCATTCAATAGACGACTTGCTAAAAATTCACACTTAATATAAATGACCCCCTGAACTGCAACATCCCCACCCCATTATAACATATGACATATGCTCATAGGAAAGTGTTAAACCCATAGGGGCCATATAGATAGGGAGTGGGAGGTACTCAGGACTGAATCCAAGGAGAGACCAGCTGCTAATCACTGGATTAACGATGATGATATATATCTACTCCAGCTGCATTTCTACAAGTGTTGAATATGTTAATGACTGACTTACAATATTTTGACTTCACAATAGTGCGATGGTACTGTAAAACATTTTTTTGTACTGTGCATTACTGTAAATTTATTAAAAGGATACACTTTTTTTTTTTTTTTTTTTTTTTCAACAAGTCGGCCGTCTCCCACCGAGGCAGGGTGACCCAAAAAAGAAAGAAAATCCCCAAAAAGAAAATACTTTCATCATCATTCAACACTTTCACCACACTCGCACATTATCACTGTTTTTGCAGAGGTGCTCAGAATACAACAGTCTAGAAGCATATACGTATAAAGATACACAACATATCCCTCCAAACTGCCAATATCCCAAACCCCTCCTTTAAAGTGCAGGCATTGTACTTCCCATTTCCAGGACTCAAGTCCGACTATATGAAAATAACACTTATATTCATTTAATTACTTTTCAATAATGGTATCTAGTTAGTTACAGAAATTACTTGTTTATTTACTAATTCAGCGAGAGTATTTATTTATTTATGGTATTGTATTCATATTCGACTTACAATATTTTCAACTTACGATGAATTCGTTAGAACGTAAACCCCATCGTAAGTCAAGGAGCAGAGTATTGAGAAGTCAGCTACAGAAATCTGTGATCTTACTATATTGGTGAGAGTCCAAGGTGACCCCAATCACACCTGTCAGACACAGCTTACAACACTGGTTCCTATCTTAATTATTATTATTTTTTTAATGCACTAGCTATCTCTCACCGAGGCAGGGTAACCTAACAAAAAAGAAGAAAATTTGTCTTGTTACATTTAGTAATGTATACAGGAGAAGGGGTGACTAGCCCTTTGTTCCCGGCATTTTAGTTGCCTCTAACGATACACATGGCCTACAGAGGAAGGATTCTTCTCCACTTCCCCATGGAGATTATTATTGCTATTATTATTATGTTCCATGGAAATTGGAGGGAAGTAGATATAATACCAGGAAGAAGACTAGCTCCTATTCCACACACGGAATTACAGGTCTGCTCCTGCAATTACGTACCCTGCGCCCAATTCCATGTCCCGCTCGTATATCATCTCGGGATTCCTCGGAGAGCAAATACGCCGAAATTCTGCCATGACCTCCTCGTCACTCAGCGTGTGATCGGCCTTCCTCCGCATCTGTTGAAAGTCAAGGTTGGACCGGTGATAAATACAGGTAGTATTTTCCCACTGTTATGCCAAAAACAGCTGTGTTTCTTCAAGTTATTACTTAGAAACGAAAAAAGAAATGAAAAAGAGAAAAAAAGAAAAGAGAAAGAAAGTAGAGGAACAAAAGAAAGAAAATAGAGAGACAGAAAATAGAGAGACAGAAAATATAGAGACAGAAAATAGAGAAACAAGAGAAAGGAACATGGAATAAAAAAAGAGAAAGAGCAGGAAAAAAGAAAGTATAAAGAAAAGAGAGAGTGGTAGTTAGAGTGGAAAATTTGACTATTTCTTCCACTCTCTTGAGCAAAGTCTACATACGTACATAAAAGACAACACAAGAGTCATCCCAACTTACAAATGCTGCCAATAATGTGATTCAGTCACTATATACTATTTTGAAATGACTATTCTGAATACGCTCTTCTTTTCTAGGCAGTACAATCAACAAATGTGTAAGTTAAAACACTAAGAATGTAGATCTACACGAGAGACCCTGATGTTTATAATGCAGATCTACATGACAGCAGCCACTCAAAGGGTTAACAATACATGCTCATCAACAAAAATATTTACCTGTACTGGGCTGTGGCCATTCTCCACTTCTGGTCGTTCATCATGGTTGTTCACGAGTCCTGGAATGTTCAGGTAGATGGGGTCTGCTGGCTGGTCTTGCTCAGTACTCTTTTTAACCTGTCAAGGAACAGTAATTGGCTAATAAACACTGTATTTTACGGCATCAAAGACACTATGTTTTCCCCCAAATAAGTCTCAAAAATTAACCAGCGTCTTAGAGGCAAAAGTATCGTTTATCTTTTTCTCCAAAATTTAGCCAATCAGAAATGGGGGGCATCCTCAACACAGCATCTTGTTTGCCATAAAATATGGTATTCTTGTACGGGCACTCAACTTATGACTGGATTATGTTCCAACGAATCCACCGTAAGTTAAAATGAATTTTTTTTTTTTTTTTTTTTTCAACAAGTCGGCCGTCTCCCACCGAGGCAGGGTGACCCAAAAAAGAAAGAAAATCCCCAAAAAGAAAATACTTTCATCATCATTCAACACTTTCACCACACTCACACATTATCACTGCTTTTGCAGAGGTGCTCAGAATACAACAGTTTAGAAGCATATACGTATAGAGATACACAACATATCCCTCCAAACTGCCAATATCCCAAACCCCTCCTTTAAAGTGCAGACATTGTACTTCCCATTTCCAGGACTCAAGTCCGACTATATGAAAATAACCGGTTTCCCTGAATCCCTTCACTAAATAAATAAATAAATAAAAAAATAAATAAATAACTACTGTCACTGAATAAATAAATAAACAAATAATTACCATAACTAAATAAATACCAGTATTGAAAAGAAAATAAATGAATACAAATTATGGACCTGTCACCTTCATGCTCGGTAATTATCCTAAGTTTTATTTTCAAAGTAATTACCTTTGCACCATTATAGAGTCCAAATACAATGGACCCCGACCTTACGAACAGCTCCCAACTCGAACAATTATGTAAGTGTATTTTTGTAAGTGCTTTTGTACGTGTATTTTTGGGGGTCTGAAACGGACTAATCTAATTTACAATACAGTGGACCCCCGCATAACGATCACCTCCGAATGCGACCAATTATGTAAGTGTATTTATGTAAGTGCGTTTGTACGTGTATGTTTGGGGGTCTGAAATGGACTAATCTACTTCACAATATTCCTTATGGGAACAAATTCGGTCAGTACTGGCACCTGAACATACTTCTGGAGTGAAAAAATATCGTTAACCAGGGGTCCACTGTATTCCTAATGGGAACAAATTCGTTCAGTAATGGCACCCGAACAGACTTCTGGAATGAATTAATATCGTAAGGTGGGGGTCCACCGTATTATAAGTCGAATCATTGTAAGTCAAGGAGCACCTGTTACTGTACATCTGAGAAACTTGCTACACAGACATAACCGAAACTTATTTCAATTTTTTAATTTTTTCTTCATGTTTACTGCTCTTGTTCTGTTTACTCTGACCTCTTACAAGAGGCCCCCACACATACAACACCTTTTCAGTGTTCTGTTTTTGTTGGCTTTCAAATGAGCCATTGTTCATTATGTTCAATGCTTTTACATTTTCCCGCCATTGTGTAACCGAAGGACGACAAGCGCTATATGTATTTCAGGTAAAGTATTGTGTGTACTGTGTATTTATTTTACTTTTTATGTTTTTTATGCCTAGCTGCATCGTGCACGTCATATATGATAATGTAAACATGTTACCAGGTGTTTTAGATGCATTCAATAATGAAAAAACGTTCTTTTCCACTTGCAACTGATTTTTCCTCACTGAATGGGGTCGGGAACCTAATAGTCATACAAACAAGGCCTTCCTGTATAGTCTATTTGAATCAACTTTTCCTGTAAAGAAATCAACAATGAAATAATACAAGGAAGTTAACATTAAAGAAGAATAGGTAAAAAGATAGAGCCTGTGCGAGTAAATTAGGTCAGCAGTATACCACCTACTGAGGATATATGTACCTGATACAGTGGTACCCCGAGTTTCAGCCGCCTCCCAACTCGAACAATTATGTAAGTGTACTATTGAAAGTGCTTTTCTAAGTGTATTTTTGGGGGTCTGAAATGGACTAATCTAATTTACATTATTCCTTATGGGAACAAACTTGTTCGGTAGCGGCATCTGAACAGCCTTCCGCAACGAATTATGGCCGAAACTCGGGGTTCCACTGTATATGTATTAATTATAAAAGACAGTAAAGTTGAAATTGTACTTACATCTTCGGCTCTTTTTAATGGATGCGCCTCTTCAAAATTGCTACCTGGAAATAAAAAAATGATATATGAAGTTGAGGTAATAATGGGAGAATTACTGACAAATTGTCAAGTAATTGGACACAGATCAATTAATGTGACATTTTATTTGGCAACGTTTGGTTCTCTAGGAGCTTCGTCAAGCAAAATGTTGCGACAACAACATGTCACATTAGTTGCATGTGTCCATTTACCTAACATGTTGAGGTAACTAGGCAGAGAGAGTAAGATATAATACTGACTGTTTTATTCAAATTTTACATACAAATTTCAGTTATTATAATGCTTGTTTTAATATATCCTCATATCTAGAGGTGCATAATATCTCCACTGATCCTTAGGGGTGCCGGCGATGTGCTTCTGACCTCCAGGACTCAAGTCTGGCTAACAGGTTTCCCCTGAACTGCATATCTCAGTCAATGTGACCTGACCTGACTAGGTTGGGTGCATTGGCTTAAGCCGGTAGGAGACTTGGACCTGCCTCGCATGGGCCAGTAGGCCTTCTGCAGTGTTCCTTCGTTCTTATGTTCTTAACTTAACCCTTAAACCATCCAAACGTACATCTACATTTTTTTTTTTACAAAATAAAGAATGTAAAATTGAACGTAGATCTATGTTCGGAGCGCTACGCGTATGAACGTAGATCTACGTTTGCATGCATAGCGCTCTGACCTTGATTGTCTCCGTAAGAAAGAATGTAAAAAAAAACATAGATCTACGTTTGGACAGTTAGAGAATTAAGGGTTAAAATGTCATAGCAACAGTTCCTTCTATAGTCTCCCTTAGCATATACAGTGGACCCCCGCATAACGATTACCTCCGAATGTGACCAATTATGTAAATGTATTTATGTAAGTGCGTTCGTACGTCTATGTTTGGGGGTCTGAAATGGACTAATCTACTTCACAATATTTCTTATGGGAACAAATTCGGTCAGTACTGGCACCTGAACATACTTCTAGAGTGAAAAAATATCGTTAACCGGGGGTCCACTGTACTGCATAAGTATAATGAAATACAGATAACTCAAATTACAGCAAATCACTGACTATCTGGCAGTCACTTATCTGGTGATTAACATAATTTGGCACATATTATCTTACAAACACTGGAAAACATGAAGCGGAAAAGGAATCCAAAACAACAAGCAGCACAAAAAAAAAGATGAATTTATACAATGGTTTTAAAAATTTGATGGCACCTTCCTCTGAAGGAGGGCAAGCTAGTCTTAAAAATAAATCTGGTAAAATCTATAAAATCTGTTTTATTTATGTTTAAAATAAGTTAGCTGCTCTTCCTAATTAAATAAATAATTTTACTTGGTATATTAAAAGTCTGAGTGAATAACCGTAACCAGGAAGCTGCCAACTATTGCTAATCTGTTAATAATGCTTAGAAACTGACAAGTTGATAAATGAGCGTTTGTGTAACATTCGGAACTTTCATTCGAAATGTTCTGCCCAGCAGTGGCTGTGTCAGTCCATGCTAGAGAAAGGTGGAAATGAGGAGGAGATTAGAGGTAATCAGTCCTCAGCCTGGAGTGATGTTCCGTTATCCGGTCATTCATAAAGAATGAAGGATGATTTACTTCAACTGAGGATTGATTACCTCAATCCCTCCCATTTTCACCTTTCTAATATTGGACTGAAGAAGATAATGCGCTGGCAAACATTCCAGAATTTAAGATTCTAAATGTTGCCACAGTGCTATTATCAATCTTGGCTTAATGATACAAATAACAAGAATTTATAACAAATATGCACTACCACCTTCGTTTGATGTGTGTCAACTTCGCAATACCGCCTGATTTCAGTGGGGACGATTTGAATTTTGGTTCATCTTTCTGTTTGAATATTGATGCATTCCAAAACATAACTGCCGAGAAGACGGCCTCTGGGTTATTCTGCACCTCATCTTTGCTAAAAAAAAATAAAAAGCATAAAATTATACATGATGTTTTACTTGTAGGAGGCCCTGAGTTATCCTTACTACAGACATAATATACAAACAAGACGGTTGCAACTAAGAAAGTGCCAACTCAGGGCCTCTTACAAGTGAAACACCCTATATGCGGACTCACGAAATCGTAATAACATAATTGCAAAAAAAAAAAAAAAAAAAAACTGGAGCAGGTGGGATTAGAAACCATGTCAAGTGAGTCGTAATGTTCCAGGCCAGTATGTAAGCCACTAGGCCAGCTGGCTGCAATAAGATTCATCCAATTCACTTGCCATAAGTAGTACTAACTCCACCCATACTGTGGTTAATTATACATAGATTTCAGAAAAGGCTGAACAATTTACAATTCTATACATTGGAGAGTAGTAGAATTTCCATTAGTTCTGGATCTGACGATGCTTCAGAATGGACCAAAACACTGCCTGAGGTTTCCTCCCCAAATTGTGGGTTGATGGAGTATTATGGATTGCAATAGTCTCCCTGTATCCGTGGGTGATACGTTCCAAGACCTACCTTGGATACCCAAAACTGTGGATAGTAGTGAACCCTATAAATCACTTTTCATTTACAAACATACTTATGATAAAGTTTAATTGATACATTACACACAATAAGTCATGAATTATCACTTTTTCACTGATGGAAATTACTTCACGGCTTCTCTTAAGCTTTGAACAACTGCCAGCATCACTACTTATAACGTTGGTGTATTATTAAGCAAAATTAAGGGATATTTTTGGACCACAGTAAACAACGGATAACCGAAGCCATGAAAACAGAGTCCATGGATACCGGGGTCCTACTGTACATACACAAAACTAAATTTTTAAAATGGTTTTAAATTGTACAGTGGATGCATAATGTGGAATTTAACCTACGACATTGCGATAAGTTCAAATATAACTTGTTTCCATTCCAGCCTTACATTCGATCACCAAATACTGTAGTACAAATAAACATATAAACTCACACACATATATGCACTCATTCACACACACATGCACTCATATATGCACACACACAAACATTAGCATAAAAAAAGTGCAAATACAAATAAATCAAAATTACCAGTACCCAAAACAATAAGGAAAAACATAAACAGCAAAAAAATATAGAAAGCCATGATAAAAATTAGAATACAGGAATAAATATTCACAAAAATTTTTTTTGCAAATACCGAACACTCTGGAATTACCAGTTCAACGTACCCTATGGTATTCTCAATGTATTTTTTCCATGCTGGCGGGATGCCCTCAAACGACTGCGTGTTTTTATTGAAGACGACGTGAATATCATGCTTAACAACAGTGGGAGATGATATTGTGATGACCTTGTCTGGGGTCTCTACTTCATGTTTTGTCGGGAAGTACTTATTAAGCGCCCTTAATACGTTCATCTTTTTTCTGCAAAATAGAAAAAAACTGAAATATATACGTAATGAGAAGCTTCTGTTGGGTTATTAACCTGGAGGTTTAGTAACCTAGGTACCTACTAACATCCAGGTACCTACTAACATCCTGGTACCTACTAACATCCAGGTACCTACTAACATCCTGATACCTACTAACACTCAGGTACCTACTAACATCCGGTACCGGATTTACCTGGAGAGCATTTCCGGTGTCAACGCTCCGCGGCCCGTCTGATACAGGCCTCCTGGTGTCAGCCTGATCAACAGCTTTGCTGCTGGCTGCACGCAAACCAACGTACCGAGCCACAGCCCGGTCCTACGAACTATTAGTGCTGTCCAGTCCACTGAAGACTGCCAGGTCTTGGTAACCCCCTTATGTGTGCCTGGGAGCAGTTGAACATCCGGCCTCTGACACTTATGTATGGTACTCTTAACTGCTAGTGACACCCCTGCTTTCATTGGGTGATGTGCTATCGTCGCCAAGTACTTTCTTTCGTAGTGAGTGATTTCGGTGCAATATCTGGTACTAGCTCCCTCTAGATTTCCATTAATATATCAGTACATTCCCTCTGCGTCCAGGGAATACAGGTTTAGGAACCTCAACGCTCCAATAATTGAGGTGTTTTATCTCCGTTATCCTGGTACCTAATAACATCCTGGTACCTACTAACATCCTGGTACCTACTAACATCCTGATACCTACTAACACTCAGGTACCTACTAACCCCAGTACCTACTAACATCACCAGGTACCTACTAACATCCAGGTACCTACTAACACCCAGGTACCTACTAACATCCAGGTACCTACTAACATCCAGGTACCTACTAACACCCAGGTACCTACTAACATCCAGGTACCTACTAACATCCAGGTACCTATTAACATCCTGGTACCTACTAACATCCTGGTACCTACTAACACCCAGGTACCTACTAACATCCTGGTACCTACTAACACCCAGGTACCTACTAACATCCAGGTACCTACTAACACCCAGGTACCTACTAACACTCAGGCACCTACTAACATCCAGGTACCTACTAACACCCAGGTACCTACTAACACCCAGGTACCTACTAACATCCAGGTACCTACTAACACCCAGGTACCTACTAACACTCAAGCACCTATTACCATCCTGGTACCTACTAACATCCTGGTACCTACTAACATCTTGGTACCTACTAACACCCAGGTACCTACTAACATCCAGGTACCTACTAACACCCAGGTACCTACTAACACCCAGTTCCTACAACACCCATGTACCTTTTACCATCCGGTACCTACTAACACCCAGGTACCCACTAACACCCAGGTACCTACTAACACCCAGGTACCTACTAACATCCAGGTACCTACTAACACCCAGGTACCTATTACCATCTTGGTACCTATTAACACCCAGGTACCTACTAACATCCAGGTACCTACTAACACCCAGGTACCTACTAACACCCAGGTACCTATTACCGTCCTGGTACCTACTAACACCCAGGTACCCACTAACACCCAGGTATCTACTAACACCCAGGTACCTACTAACATCCAGGTACCTACTAACATCCAGGAAACCTACTAACATCCAGTACCTACTAACACCCAGGTACCTACTAACACCCAGGTACCTACTAACAACCAGGTACCTACAACACCGGGTACCCACTAACACCCAGGAAACCTACTAACACCCAGGTACCTACTAACATCCAGGTACCTACTAACATCCAGGTACCCACTAACACCCAGGTACCTACTAACACCCAGGTACCTACTAACATCCAGGTACCTACTAACACCCAGGTACCTACTAACACCCAGGTACCTACTAACATCCAGGTACCTACTAACACCCAGGTACCTACTAACACCCAGGTACCTACTAACATCCAGGTACCTACTAACATCCAGGTACCTACTAACATCCAGGTACCTACTAACATCCTGGTACCTACTAACACCCAGGTACCTATTAACACCCTGGTACCTACTGACCGCTGTCAGGAAATGTACCCAACATTTCCACCCGTGCCCGGGATCAAACCCACTTCCTTCGGTTGTAAGCCGAGCCCATCTTGGGCTCATGATCCAAGGATGAGGTAGCTCCAGTTCCTTGGATCAAAAGTCACGCACCAGCATGACCTCGGGCACCTAATGACTCCCCTTACAGGGGTCATAGTGCCTGTGGGAACAGTAAATACTCAGTTTTGATCCGAGGACGGGTAGAGCACCTCCAATACCTTGGATCAAGAGCACCAGCATCATAATATAAGTTAATACAACCCCCTGACGAAATTTTTTGAGATGTTCACCTTGAGGGACGCCCATGATATCTAATTTGATTATTTTCAGGTATTTTTCCCCATATTAAGACACCAAACTGCACACACAGGTGAGCAAAGATGATGTTTCTCACCACCAGAAGTTACAACCAGGATTACAGCAGTAATTTCAGCAGAAAATGGTGACTAAGAACTATCACTTAGTAATCAGTAACACATCCTGTGTTTGCCAGTGATCACGCAGTCTTTATATAAAAAAAAATATACAATGGGTATTTTTACTTGATAATCCATTATTTTTAAAGGTAAATTAGTAAATAATCAATATTCGGATTATATTTACATTTTTTTCCACAAAATTCTGCTAGAATTTGCAGATTTTTTTTCCGCGGTCCAGTGAACCCGGGTTCGTTTACCGGACTCGTTATTATATTATATTAACTAGAGAAAACTAAACCCATAGGGGCTATAAAGCTCCTGTATAATGGAATCTAATCAGGTTTGATTCGAGAAAGGGGAAGGTAGTTCCAGTTCCTCGCGTCAAAAGCCCATTATCAGAATGTGGACACACCCAGCAAGGAGTTTGCTAATGCATGAATCTGAATTAACTTACTTATAACTGCTAACTTTGATTATCTAGCAATAAAAATAGGTACGACGTATTAATTTGTTATTGTGGATTGCATCCACAGCAAAGTTCATGTGACATTCTGTAAGAAACTCGAGAAAAACAGGAAAACCGAAATGACCCGGATTCGTTTCCCAGGAAGAGTGATGCTTATGGTCAACTGTATTACTACTACTACTACTACTACTACTACTACTACTACTACTACTACTCCACAACCTACTACTCAACTACACTAACTATACTACATACTCTACTACACGCCTACTCTACACTACTACTTACTACACTACTACCCTAACTACAACTACTACTGCTCTGCTCAACATTTCTACTACTACTACTACACTACTACTCCTACTGCGCTCCTACATTTTAACACTACTCACTACTCACTACCCCTTCTGCTACTACTCCACACTTTTACTGCTACTAACAACTCTACACTGCCTCTACTACTACTACTACTACTACTGCTAAAACAACTACAACTACTACTTTACACTACCACAACTACAACCCCTTACTGCAAAATACTACACTCCTCCAAACGACTGCTACTACAACCCCACTACTACACTACATACCACACTACTGCTACTACAACTACTACTACAACTCTCTACACAACTCGCTACTCTACACTACTACATACTACACTACACTTCCCCACTACTACTATCCCACTACTACAACTACTGCTACTCTACTACACTAACTACACTACTACACCCCACTCACCACTACTAAAACTATGCTACTACTACACTACACAATAAAAAATTTCTAGGGCTTCCCTTATGATCAACAAAAAACAAAACCATAACCAGGGAAACAACAATTTTTTTACCGTAGCCCCACCCGGTAACATTAAAAAACAACCACCCCGGGTCCCCCAAGGGGTTCCCCTCGACCTCAAAATCTTACCATATCTATCCGGACCAGTATGATTGGGTACACCCAAAAAGGGGTGCACTAATAATTGTGGATTTATAGATTAATTATTTAGCTGAATAAAGGGGGAGGGGGTAGAACCCCTGGATACATCCACGGGAAAAACTTTGTACATAATCCCCCCAAATTACCAAATGTTCTCTGTGATCACTTTTGGGGATCACCGAACCTACTAATTAAACAACCACACTGGCCATCTAGGTTCTATAATAAAAAGGGTTCTTACTGTGGGTTTAAATTTTCCTCATTTCTTGAATCACCACTCTTTTTTCATTCCCTACACCGAAAAAACTTTCTCTTTCCGCAACAGACCGCTGGTTTGTCCTGTTTTGACGTCGTGACTCAAGGATTTTTCCCTTTCCCCCTCTCCTAACAACGACAACTTTCACTCGGAGCAAAACGACTTTTTTCACCAAATTCTCTTAACTTGGGGGTTATTATCATTAATTACATTACAATTCAAAAACGATTTAATGACTAAAAATTTTATACACATAGAATCACTCCATTAAACAGACCGGAGGAGTTAAACCAAGGAAATTTTTCCCGGGGCTCATCCGGGCACGCGTAGTCCCCCGTCCACTTTTATCAACTTTTACCACTATAACCGTACCCCCAAAAATCCCGTTCCCTACTCCCACCGGGAACAGCTACAACATTTCTTTTTAATAAATGACCTAAAAAAAAACCTTAGGCCACCGGGAATGCAATTTCGTGTTCCATGTTTTCCCTCCCCGCCTCCCACCTCAAAACAAAACCCCCCTCCCCCCCGCACATCCGCGCATCGAAAAAGGGAACCTTGGGTTCACTCTTTTTTTTCAAATCATTTTTGACCCAAAAAGCCATTAAACAACCTTTTACACATATTCAAAAAAACAAAAAATTTTCCCACTGGGGCCGGGGGGGCGTTGCAGAGACTTCCAAAATTGGGGATACAATTTTCCCCACTTCACGGCCACCCATATTTTGAACCCTCAAAAGGACTAATTATGTTCCTTCTCTCGGGGCAAACCATCTCCCGGATTAATTTTTGGGGCATATGGAATTTTGAGATTTTAACAATACAAGCTCTCAGTATCCCTATAAAGCCCCGCACATTACTGCAAAGGGCCCCAAACTCCATGGCCACTATATTTATGATCCCTCAAAAGGGACAATTTAGTTTTCCATTCCTCGGGGGCATAACCTATGCTCCCGGGTTTAATTTTTTGGGCATACGGAAATTTTTGAGACTTTAACAAAAACAAGTCTCCAGTACCCTAGTCAGCCCCCCAGCACATTACTGCTTTTAAACACCAAACCCCATGGCCATCTAAATTTTTTTGACCCCTCAAAGGGACCAATTAAATTTTCCTTCTCTCAGGGCATAAGCCTATCCCCTGATAAGTTAGGGGTATACGGGAATTTGAGACTTTACCAATAACAACCCCCTCTCAGTATCCCAAGTCAGTCCCAGCACCCAACTGCATATAGCACCAACTCCATGGCCATCCATTTTTTTTAGAACCCTAAAAAGGGGCAATTTTATTTTTCCATTCCCAGGGCATAACTATCTCCCGGTTTTTTTTGGGGCATACGGGAATTTTTGAGATTTAACATAACAATCTCCATACCCCAAAAGTCATCCCACCTTTTTCCATTATTTTCTTTAAACCCCCTTCACATACCTCATTATTCCTCTTCTTGACGTCACACCCAAATTTTTCCACATAAGATTTTTAAAACCCAATTACTCGCTCATGACCGCCTGTGCCCCTAAGGTGTGCTTTTATCGTCGCCTGAAAAGAACAATTTTTTATTTAACGTTTATTAATTATATCATTATAAGCATCAAAAATTTTGGAGTCTTCTCTTTCCAGAGCGGGGGCCCTTTAACTGTCCAAACCCCCACCTAAATTTAGTAGGTAATTTGGGGTCAATTTCCCACAAAAGCGCACCCAGTAAGTCCGACACATTTAACACCTTCAGTATTTCCGATAAAGGAATCATTTGGATTTTCCTTATTCATTAATCCCATGCTGTCCACTCCACAAATTGACTTTTCAACATCTTTCTCGATAGAAAATACTTTACGGTTGACCTTTCAGATAAACACCGTACCGTATTCCACTATTTCCTCTATCATATTACTAGGGGGATCTGCCATATATTACACCCACCATGTTAGGAGATCACCGTATGTTTGGGGTTTTATCCCCTTTATCCGAATTTTTTAAAATCCAACACCGGCAAGCTCCCTCAGCACCATCATTATGCCATTAGCTGCAACCTTTAAACACACTGTAGTGCGGGGGTTTATTAACTTTATCATTATTGTCACCATTTTTAAAAGAATCACATAAAACCCTGCACATAACTGTATGGTTTTTTCCCCTTGTGCATTGAACAACTGTTCAATTTGGTAAACAATCCTTTACATTAAATTGCAGACATCTAAAATCGTCAATTCTTTCATTCTTTTTCCCCTTTAATGTCCCATGAATTTAAGCATTACAATTTTTAGGGGAAAGAGACCCTGGGAAAAGAGGGATTCTCTTTTCCTTGCCTACCCTTATTAACCGGTTACACAACCGAGTACTTATTCCTCTTACCTTGATGTAGGGAAACCCCAATTTTCGATTCCACTTGATAGGCCTATTAACCTTAACTATGATTATTACCACTGGGATTAAATTTTCCCTTTTTAGACTTGACAGATACTTCAGCTCATTTTTTTATATCCTTAGAACTTTTGGGGGTGTTTGCAATTGAACAAATTTTTTTTCCGCCACCTAGTCGAATTCCTCCCGACCGTAATAGGGGTTTTGGCAAAACCCACCCTTTGCATTAAAAGGTTGACAACTGCCGGGGTTACACCTTTAATTTATTCAAACCTTTCTTTTTCAAACAGTTTTTTCTTTCCCAAAAAGTAATGTTGATTAATTAAAAATTCATTTCCATTCTATCTGCACAAATTTTCCCGCAATCCTTTAAGTTTTTAAACCACAATTTTTTCCAATCAAATCTACTCTCTAAAACATCAAAAAAAAAACTTTAATTCATTTGGTTCACGGTCTTTATTACAAACAAATGCCTTTGTCACTGGCTTTTAATACCGTAATGATGCTTTCATTACTCAAAATTTCCCGGGCTTTTCAGCCACATTAACTCCATTAGATCCATCATGGTTAAGAATTTTTAACACTGATTATACAACTTAAGTAGGCGCCTATAAATAAATTTTTGCCTTTAAATCTTTTAAATCCTAGCCACACATGTCTAGCAATTAATTGGGCAATTGCATCCTCACACATCGATTAAACTTGTGCACCCACACCCCACTTCCTTCAATAAGTCACTTAATTATTAAGTAATTAATTAATTAATTTTTCACTGATTGCACCCGGTTCTCAAGACCAACGGCAATATGGAAAATTTTCTAGGGGGCTTACCTTTTGACCCAACATTATATACATACCAGTAATCTCATTGAGACAACTATTGTTTTCCGTATCACCCCGTTGACATTAGAAAACTTAACCACCCCTGGTCGCACCAATGGTCCCCCCCACCTCACAACTACCATTCATCCGAACCATATGGATTGGGAGCACCCACAAGTACGGGCACTAAAAAATTGTGGACTGTTAAAAATTATTTATTT